TACCCCTTTATTATTGTCAATACTAAATAATTCTTCTCTTCCCTTTCACACACACAACTCTCCATTATTATCTTTAATTAATTTAATACACGTAGAGAAAAAAAATCATATTATTAATATGCACAAAGAATTTGAATGTTCGTTCGATCTCATGCAAAGAATTTGAAGATTCGATTTCATGAAATTCAAAAAATGTCTTGAAAAAAATTACTCCGTAAATAAAATAGTCTCTTTGAACTACATCCGATCAAATAAAAATAAGAACAACAACAACAATAATAAAAAAAATACTCCCTCTGGTCTTAAAAAACTTTTATGTTTTAATTTTTTAGGTCAATCAATGACAACCTTCGACCATAAATTTTAAGAAAATTATATTTAATTGTAATATAAATCCAATATAATTAGGTTTATTTTAAGATATAATTTTGATATGTCAAATTTTTGTATCATTCATTTATTTAGACTGTGTTTCATTTATGGTAAACGGGTGTCACTGTTTGACAAAAAAGTCAAAACAGAAAAGATTTTTAGGACCGAAGGGAGTCATATTTATTTTTATGCAAACACATGTATATATACTCCTAAAGTGAAACAGATTTATACAAAATAAGTCAAACAAATATATTTTATTATTGTTCATCGCTCATTAAAAATATTAATTTTTAAATAAACAATAGTGACAATATCAAGTAAAACATATTACACACATTAGTCTTTTCTTTGATATATAGTGTATTAATCATAATTATTTAATCAAACATCGATTATATTAAGACATTATTTTATTTTAAAAATTATTTTCAATTATTTACAAAATATTTGGATGCGAGCCTGTCCAACTTGAAGCTCGTGGGTACTTGTACATTCTGGGCTTGAACTTCCATTGTTATGCCCGCTATGCGAATCAGGTCAGTTATGAATCTACGGAGTATAACGTCTTTGCCCAATCCACACTTTGATCAAGTCTAGTTTGAACATCGACCCATTCACGGCCCAATAAGAGAAACCCTTATGAATGAATCTGTAACACCCTGGCCCCCACTCTAGCCGTAAGTGTCTGCTCATAGGATTGTAGACTGCCCCACACAAACCAACACAAGTTTTTTCCGCGCACTTTGTCCTCACTCGTGCGCGGCCAAGAAATTTCCCAGGGGGTCACCCATCCTAAAATTACTCCAGGTCAAGCACGCTTAACTTTAGAATTTCTAAGTGATGAGCTCTCGAAAAGAAGATGTACCTTGTTGATATGAGTAGTACTATCAATCCTTTTGAGTTCTTCTCACTCTCATCTTAATACGGGGTATTACAGAATCAAAAGAGTAAACAAAGCATATCTACGGAACATACTCCCTCCGTCCCTAAATAAAGTTCCATTTTTGACTTTTTGAGGATTTAAGGGAGGGATATTTTGGTGTTGACTTTCCAAAAATACCCTTGATGTGATGTGTTTAAGTAAGATGTGATAGGTAGATTATTAGTAAAAAGGTATGATGTGATAGGTAGGGTATGAAAAAATAAGGGGTAAAAGGGTTTTTTAAGGGAAAAGAGAAGTTTATTTAGGGACAAAGAAAAAACGAAAGAGGAACTTTATTTAGGGACGAAGGAAGTATTATACTAGTGTTTAGATCCACTCGGCAAGAGCCCAAAAAGGCCCAAACCAAAGACTGGTTGAGTAAGGATGATATGTGTTGTCCATGTAAGACATGTAAGAACTTGAAGTATCGAGTAACAAAGACCATAATACATAGGGCACATCATCCTCCGTTACGGTTTCACTCCCAATTACTACTAGGGGTGGGCACGGATCGGGACGGTCCGGTTTTAGGTTGTCCCATGTCTTGTCCCGTTATATATAAACGGTTCGGAACGGTTCGGATTACAACCTTATCCCGATTTGTCCCATAAAATTCGGGATCGGAATAAAACGGGACGGATTCGGGTCGTCCTATTTTGTCCTTAATCGCAAATATAAGAAGTGGGAGAGAGTGACATTTCATTCAAAAAAAGAAACATGTAGCCATCCAACAAAAACCAATGAGCGGAACGGGTCCAAATAAATTTCAAGCCTACGAAGTTAACTTAATTAAATAACTAATTATTTAAGGAATGGGTGTATTTGGATTTTGGACTAGAATTAGTATTATATATTAGTAGAGTAGATGAAACGGGACAAACAGGACGGATCGGTATAAATTTTAGTTGTCCCGCTTATGTCCCATTTGATATTGGGACGGAACGGGTTCGGGATAAAAAAAATGTGTCCCGATATATCGGTACAATTACAAAACGGAACCGGGATTTTTCGGAACGGTCCAACGGGAACGGATTTCATGCCCACCCCTAATTACTACGGGTGAGTGTGTCGCGATAAAAAAATATGAAAATTACCTCTCACCACTAACGAAAAGTCCCTCGTTAGGCCAAAATAAATAATCCATGTCAATGCTCCGATAGGGATCAATATAGGCATATTGTGTACAATGCAGCTAACCCATTAATTCCAATTCTGAGAAAGAATCAAGTCTCGATGATAAGAAGTTCTTTGATATGGTGAAAGTCACTAACATATTACATATATGGTGAACCTTGGTGAACATATATATACTCGTGGTCTTGATTCTCTAATTAAGATGTCTCAACTTTTTGATGTTGCATGCTTGCTAAACATAAAATCAGCCCATAATTTATCAGAGAGATGTTACGACACAATATGTTAGTTATTCAAAGACGCTTTCCTAGAAGACAATTCAATTGTTAATAGATAAGATATTGACTAAGGGGCTGTTTGTTTCAAACTCTTAATGGTTCAGATGTCTGAATGATTCAGCACTTAATGGTTCAGACTGTTTGTTTCAGCCTCTTAATGGTTCAGATGTCTGAATGGTTAAGAGATTTGCCTCTGAATGGTTAAGCATTATACAGAGTCTGAATGGTTAAGACCTCTTATCTGAATTGATCAGACATTTGCTTCTTAATAGTTAAGCAATATACTAGCTCTTAATGGTTCAGACCTCTTACTGGTTCAGCACTTAATGGTTCAGACCTCTTACTGGTTCAGCACTTACCCATTCAGAAGTTGCCAAACAGCCCCTAAGTCTTGTTGTAAGGCAACAAACAAGAGGTGATATGTTGTGAAACGACCCAGATAAAAAAGAAGGAAGATAATTATGAATCGAATGGAATATTTTTTTGTCGTCACGTGTTGCTTGGAAGATACTTAGGGAGAACGTTAAGTTTGAAATGTACTGTAATGTAATACTCAGTAATTCCTTGTGCACAATGAATACGGAAGAATCTTCCGTATAAATTTAATATTGTGACTGCATAATCGTGTACTACTAGGTCAAACCGGTTATGATGGTGTGGGACGTCTAGAGTGGAAGCCTCACCCCCACAAAACCCATTATTCATACACTACTAGGGATTGATTAGCACGCATAGATAGATCAAGAGTAGATCTCACTAGTGTCAATTACTTCGTATAAAAGTATATTATCCGACGGTGAAAACACATTTGTTCATCCCCAATTCACTATACATCTGACTAGTTGAGTGGTGAACGGCGGCCATACATCATGATGGATATCGGGTTAATCGCTGGATCAGGAAGGCCCAAAGAGTCCCACTGCCGCGACCCAAGAAGAATAAGGGGGCTCGACGCTCACGAGTAAAGTGTGGTGGGCCAATAATATGATCAAGTGACAGGCTGAGTCCAGCCCACTAATCAGATCGCACGATACGGGGAAGGGCAATCTCACGTTAATTGACGACTGAATCCTCACGCATGATTAACGTACGATTAGCCAATTAGCCTGATATTATAGCGCACGAATTACATCCCAAACATACGATGATGTTAAACTATAAGTTGGAGACGTTCTCCTGCATTGTAACTCAAGCTGAATTAAGTTAATACAAGAATTATAATCTAATCTTTATTGTTCTCATTTATATACGAATTATTCGCACCACCATACTTGTTGGGCTAAATCTCATCACATCCATTTTGCAATGTTCCACCGTGGCAACGCACGGTGGCCCGGCCCCTCAGGCATTAATACTTGTTTTTTAGCAGGTAAAAAAGTGCTTTTGGTGGCCTGCAGCTGTCCTAGCCAGTGACATTGAACAAGTGAAACTCTGACATGGAGCAATATTAATGCTTGACAAAAACCTGCGTGCCACATATAAGGCATCCCTCCACCAAAAGGGTGGACTTGACTTGGACATCTTCCGATTCCGGACCGGTATCATAACAACAATAAGAACCTTTTGGGCGAATAGGAAAATGGGTACCGGAACCTCTCATGCCAATACTGGTCGCGGTGAGTGGGAGGGGTACCAAATCTAACCGATCGTTATGTATTAATGTTCTATAACTAACCACGTTTCAATCAATCAGAATGCACGAAACCCTAATGTTGGATTATGGAATCCATGGGTGGAGGAAGAAGGAGAAAAATGAAGAATAAGGATGAAGAAGATGAATGTATTGTGTGGTGTGTGTTGAATGAGCTTCCTTCCTCCCTTCCCTCTTCCTAGAAGAGGGGTATAAATAATGGGAGTTAGGGTTTAGGGTTTGAGCCCATATATAAACTTACGGGCTGGCCCAACAGACTGGGCCACCTCTTAATAAGTAATCAATATACAACTAACGGGCTCGTTCAAGAGACTGGACCGCCCCGACTAATATTTTTTATAAAGACCGGATACGCCATGTCCAGGGTATCCATCATGAGTCCCCCACTTCCTGAGCCGAGAGGAACTCGAGGTGAAGTGCAAGTAGAACATTAATCCACCACGGAATGACACTTACTTTTGACAGGATTTATTCGAAAAAAAAAAACACAACAGAGGCAGCACAATTTTCCATTCAAAAAATTTATTCCCCCAAACATTTATATGATTGTGTTATGCCAACATTGTTTGGGTGTACTGTATGGTGTCCGTGTCCATTCAAACCAAACACTAAAAATATTGCTCGCATGTATGGTGCATACAAATTTGTAAAGATTGGTTGTGCCAAAAATGAAATAAAATCAGCACCCTTCTATTCTTCCATCTGATAAAAAATTGTTCTCTAAGCCAGACGATACGGAAATATATTATGTATTCGATAGGGGATTACATTAAAAACCAAACTTTCTACACACGCGCAAAATAATAATAAAAAAATAAAGGACGCGAATAACTATTATAATTATAATTATTTATCCCGCCACCAATCCATCCATCTATTATTTATATCGCGTACCGGATTGATTGGAAGACATCTACGACTTGGTCAATCTGTGCAGGACTGCAGGTGAGAATCCATGCTTCAAAATCAAGATTTTGATTACTCCCATTTTTAGTCCCCTTTTTATCTGATAATGTTAAGTGCTTCAAAAACAGCCTTCGTTCATAATATATGCTACCTGTGTGATAGGTCCATGGGTGCCCGGCCGGACCAACTATACTATATCACCCTGGCTGCATCATCATTGGGAAGAAAGACCACTTCTCGGGGCCAGGGCAAGGACCAGCAACACTACCCGTTTCTGAAACTTCTTCGTTTCCGTTATCGAAGAAGTTGAATTCCTCCGAAGATCCGAGGGTGATGGACCGGTTCTTCTCAAGACTTTCTCCTGGTGACGGACCGGTTCTTCCCTGTGCTTTGGCTGTAGAATCCCATACTTTTTCAGGAGAAGTTACTGATCTATCATTGGATAACAGCCTTGGATTTTTCTCTATGCACCTAACAAAATCTTCTGCAGTCACCTCAAATGAAACTCGTTGGTCCGACACTGCCTCAGCATTCCTCCATTTATAGTATGAATTTGAATGGCAGATGTCAGAGTTTTGATGGCGGAACTTGATTTTGTTATGTGCCCAGGGTCCTGCTGAATCTGGTGTCATGTCATGAGATTCACGGTCAGGGAAAGGCGATGAGGTCCCTGAACCAGATATTGCTGAGGCAGGAGAAAGCAACCGGCTGATTGGGCTTCCAGGGTGTAGTTGATAAGACTGGAATTCGCGAGGTGAAAGTGGAAGCATATTTCCGTTTTGAAGGTTTGGGTCAAGAAGCTTGGCGAAGGGCACCTCAGGCGAAGAAGGTGTTGTCAGGTGCACCAACTCGGGAGGAGGAGTGAAGGGAGCTGTGGAAGGTTCTGTGGTGAATGTTGAGAATACAGGAGGAGAAACTAACTGGGTTTCATGCGCATAAGGCCCAATTGCAAATATTGAAGCAGGTCCACCGGGTGAATACATGTTTGCAGACATTGAAGAGAATGATATCAATCCAACAGGTGATTGAGTAGCAGAAGGAGGCTCTGATTGGATGAATGATACGGGAGATGACGGAGGAGCAACAAAAGGAAGAGCGAAAGTGGTTGTGGTTCCAGTTGGGTGATCAGCTTGAGCGAGATGAACATTTCCTGGAATCCCTCTTGTTTCGGGATCAAAGACTGCATGTCCAATTCTTTTGTTCTTCTTCTTTGACCCAAAACACCAATATATGCTGAAGCAGCTTCCCCATCTTCTCTTCTGCAAACCCATAAGGTCAGGTGGGTTACTAGAAAGCTATGATGAACAAAAAAACTAATGTATGATAGATATAGCCACTCAAGTAAACTCAATGATATTTTCTCAACCCTACATATTTCCATTGGTTCATTCTCCTTATTTCTCTCAATGATATGTAAATGGATCCAAAACAAATGAGAGTGAGATGAATAAATCAGAACCATAACCTATAGTCCTACACTACTAGCCTCTTCTCTGCCAAAATGAATTTGTATTGATGCAGTTACTATATCCAGTTAGCTACAAACAGCCACTAGTCTCTTACGTAAAGAGCATAGAACATTAGGGGTTGAAGCAACTAAAAACATAAGAGTACTTGACAATTACACCAACAAGGATACTTTGGTGTTTAGCCATTTTCTGTCCTTAAGCAAGGAGAAAAAAATTGTGATAACCTGATACCAGTGTGGCACTTAAAACATGATCATTGCGTGAGTACAAATGAGAAAACAAATCAAACAATACAACCAAGAGTCCAGAATATACAGATCCATAACAGCTGTGATCCCAGACAGATTGAAGAAAAATAGATACTCCGTATTGTTTTTCAGTTGGGATAGTTTCACTTCTTGGAATGAAATGTTTAAACTTTCTGAATACAACAGATACTCCCTCCTTCATGACAGAAGACTGTTCACAGTTTCAAGTAACGAATGTGTTTATCAATCTGGGGATCTTCTCCACTTCCTCTCACCTCCATTTCCTTCCATTACCATAATTTAGGTGAAATAAATGAAATTGTTGGGACACATCCCCACCATTACATTTATATCTCTCAAAACTATAGTTATGGAGGGGAAATGAAAAGAGGGAAATGGACACAATCATAAATCCTTAAAAGCATTCTCTCTTTCCAGTTAGCATATTACAATGTCATGGCTAATCTACTCCAAAATTCCAACAGGGGAAATTGAACTCATATTTACAACCAAGAAGCATGAGCAGGATACAGAGCATAAAACTCAGGATTTAGAATTTAGACTGATATAAATGGGGATTCAGATTTAGAATAATCATCAGTTTACTATGTGTTCCATTTCCCTTATTACGTCATCCCCCTCTACTACGAACACATGAAGTGCCGATAACATGGTTTAGAAATATTTCAAAATTCTGGCCAGTTCCAAAAACAGTTTTAGCTATGATCGTTATTTAACTGTGATTCATGAAAAAATTTTAATGATTTAAAATAGTCGCCCTTATACAAGTTTCCTTAACCAATCGTACAACTACACAAGTGATTGAATAGTGAACTTTCTCAAATTCACCCTTAACAGCAGGGCAGAATCACAACTAAGTATCAATTTCAGATATATAAGAAAATTATTGCGAAAAGCACTTCAACAACACGCATCAGATCAGCAGATCTATAATTATCTATTTAAAAAAAGGTAAAAAACGAGTGCTCGGACAAAAACACTACTGAGTACCAAGTATGATATTGGCCAAAATATAACGAATTATCATCTCTACTAGCCAAAAGTGATAAAAACATTGCCTAATTCCAGTGCAAGAATCCGTATATTTACTCCAACGAATCGGAATTTGATTTTTTTCAAAATAAAGTTGATTCAAAAATTATGAGCAAAACTATTGAACTACTCTTCGAGAGAAAACAAAACCTGGGAAAAAATCCAGAGTGGGTGAAATTCACCTGGGAGGAAGCTTGAGAGGCGCGATTCCGTGCGGAAGCGATTGCAGTAGCAGCAGCGGTGATAGTCTCGAGCGGGAGGCCGGAGGTTCTCATCATCTCCCCATTCGCGGCACCTATCATAATCTCTATATCTCACGCTCAATCTCGATCGCCGAACGAATCTCCACGCCGGTGAGCCGCCGCCGGCGGCCTGATCATCCAAACGTCACTGTTTTGTCTAGACGGAAAACGAAGAATCAACGAGCCGCAGGTGAGCAATGTAATGTAAAGTTGGGGCAGGGAGAGAGAGAGAGAGAGAGAGAGAGAGAGAGGGGAAAAGGAGGGCAATGAGTGCGCACGTGTGGGATTCCAACTTTCTCGATGTGGGCCCCTGCAGTTGATCTGACCCACACGTAATTTCCGAGCCCCCCCGCTGCCTTTGCATACTTTTCTTTTCTAGGATGTGTTTGGCAAGACCATGCTAGGTGTAGTAGTACATTATTTAATTTTATAGACAATAATTTTGCAACACCACTTATTGAGACAAATACAGAATACTAGTTGTCTACCCGTGCTTCGCACGGGCTGGGGATGTATACACGTGTTTGTTGAATGCAAATTAGTTACTGCATGTTATGCCCCTAGATGTCAATTATCACCATTTTGTTCAGGTAGTTTAAAAAAATAAAGAATAGTAAAGTTTATAAATGCCAAAAAAATTAAAAATACAAAAGAGGACTAAATTAAAGCCCCTATAAAAATAGGAGTGTAACTCTTAGGAGTTATGACCAAAACCGGGTTAGGGGAAGAAACGGGAAAAAAACTTTTCCCTAATCAATAAGTCAAATATTGTACCATGACAAAGTCTCCTAACAGTCTTGGTCCTATTAAAAAACTACCTAAACTAAAGAACAAAATAAAACTAAAATCCTTCTTGAATTCAATAAACTTGACCTATTTTTACAAAAAAAATGCCCTACCCAATTGGGCACTAAAGAAACCAGCATCAAAGCAAACCAAGCTAGTTGTCATCACCATTAGTCAAGACCGAGATCTGCCTTTGCCATAGCCATAACTAAAACACATGAATACGCCTAATTCTAGAAACCCTGAATAGAATAAACCAGAGAGAGTAAGTCTCCCACAAAAATATCTTCCTTAGCATACTTTAAAAGTATTAGTATTTTCGTATTATATAATGCATAGTAAATTTGAACACAATAATGAATAAATATTTAAAGTGTTGAAATCATTTATATCAGAAAACAATGGCGGTATTACTCTTGCTCTGAGCAGATAAAAAACATAAGGCTCCATTTGGTACACAGAATTTCAATTTCATTTCAATTCTAATTCCATCAATTCCATATACCAAACAGACTTACAGGTCCCTTTGGTACATAGAATTGATGGAATTGAATTGATTTACAGAGCAGAGGGTAATTACACAAATACTCTCTTGCTCTCCCACAAAATCAACTCTGTAAATTTGTTATCACATTTTTAACCTGTGACTATATTTCAACTTAAACATACTAAAATTAAATTTTAAAGCCTTAAAATCATTTATGTAAGAACACTGAGGGTAATGTTGTTTTACTGAAAACGGGGGAAAAGAGAGTATACCCTAGTAGTTACACAAATAGAAAAGGATGCATTGCATTAGAAATATATTATAGCTTTGAACACCTATACTCACAAAACGCAGTGCATATTTAAAATACATTCAGTTTCTCCCCCATGACGTAAAAACTAATGAATGCCAATCTGCCCTATTGTTTTGTCTCCTCAGAAAAACAACTAAAATTCGTACCGACATTTTCATCCTCAACACCGTCCTCGAGATAGAACATGTGCATTTAGCCTAACGATTAAAAAAAGCACACAAACCTGAAGAACATCTAGGAAATACGTTTCAACTAATTCTGTACACAAATAAAAACATTTATTTTAAATATGAATATTTTAAAGTGAAATTGAGGATTGAAAAAACCTCAGATATATGGTTTTATGAATTGATGGGATAAAAATAAAGCTGGTGATGTTGGCAAGAAGTGGAGACGCAAAGGTTTTTGATGGGTGTCATCGTTCGTCTCCGAAAAGAGCAGAGAACATATTGAACCTTTGGTTAAGGAATTAGAAAATACCTTTTTTTGGATGGGCACCGAAGGTTGATGCCACCTCTCTGGAACTGCAATTGTAGTGTCTAATGCCATCTCAGGTCGCCATTGAGCGATGTTACTAATGTGAATCAACTGTGAGATGAAAAAGCATTAACCAATACGATTTAGAAGCCTAAAAGTTAAAGAATGATTCTCATACACCCATATATAAATTTTCTTCTTTTTCCAAAGTGCATTGTTTAATCTACACCATTTCCTTTGATTTTTTCCTCCATTTGAATAGAAAAAAATCCATTCTTTAGAGCCTTATGTTACATAAGAGGTTCAAAAGCAAGTGTAATACACAAAATTGACCGAGAGTGTATAGATGATGTACATGTGTATGTTTCATGCCGGTAATGCTTGAGTTTTTAGAGAGGAAAAACTCCATCGTACATGTTAGTATATTAGTTATAGAAATTGAAAGAAATTATTTGCAACAAATCAACACAGTGCATTAAACTTGTATGGCCAACGTGGTTCAAGAAATTGTATGTACCTCCTGTGATTGTTGCTTCTGGTTGATGATGCATCTGAAGATAAAAGTATATATTTTGAAAATGCACTGATACGAAGATAGTTGCTTTCAAAATTTATAACTGAATTCATCCCACAATGTATATCGCCTAATCATTCGTGTTAATTAGGTACGGAGTATAACATATCTTAAAAAGATCCTGAAAGTATAATGTTCAAAATACAAATATCATATGAATGCCTTTTTCTTTTAGATTTGACATGGAAAATTTCAGCATTCAAAATCAAATCTCAAATTCATAAAATCATCATGATCATAATCAAAATGCCTGACCATCCAAACAGTAGATAGTATACCTTATTATTAGTATAAAGATACAAAAAAACCCAATAAATTGAATTCGAGAAATAGAATAAAGAGAAGAAATTAAGGATTCGGATATTACCAGGAGTGCTACGGCGGATGGAGTGCTGCGGAAGTTGGGATCCGAGAAGGCAATCTAGCTATGGATTTTTGAAGTCCTGCGGTGGATGGGATCTTGGAAGGCTATTGGAGTTCATGCAGTGTTGGTCGCAATTTACAACCCTAATCTCGATCGCCTAAGAGACGATGAAAGAAAAAAGGAGTATGACACCTCAGCAAATAACGTCCTACATGGACTGGCACTTCTTAAAAAAACATCGTGTGGCCTGACACGTGGCAGCCCCACAATTAAAACGCAAGCAAAATGAAGAAAATATTATTCAAAATGCAGTTTTTCAAAAAAATAGAACTAATATTTCACAAAAACAACAAATGAAGCACAACTTTCAGTATCAACATGAACATAAATTCACAAACTCATCATCATATTAAGCCTCAAATTCTTAAACATTCAGCACATACAGTTGTGTAAATAATACATTATTTAATAGCATGAGTTCAAAAACAAAACAAACTCAATCCTTAATATAAACAAATGCCTTTTATTAAGCTCACATCTTAGACACCACACCACGTGTTCTAAAGATTTACATACCTTACCTGATTTCTAAAAAATAAAATTTACTTGGGTCTTCATTGGGATTCAAACATAGCAATTGCACCTCAATCAAATGCTAGGCCTCAAGCTTCAAGACAATCCGCAATTAGTCCAATATTATCAGTGAATTAGTGATGTCATCACAGGCATAATATTCAGTGTTTTATTTAAATTAAAAAGCTAAGCATGGATTAGGAAACAACAATTCATTGGTTAAAAAGAGACACCGAAACCTCAAGAGCTTCTTTTTATTTCCATTGTTCTATATGGGGTCCTCTTGGGTTTGTGTGGTAGGAGGTAGCTTCGCTAGCAGTCCCTGTGGAAATGTTCTCATTTGTCTATAAACATCTACTGCGATCAACCATTACAAAGGAGCAAACTTAAAAGAGAGATAGTGAATTGAGTTTGTTAAATGTAGGTGTGGAGGTGTTGAAATAAATGGACGTTGTAATGATGTGGATGGTAAATACCTCTCTGTTTTGCACAGGCCCTATGATACACTACATGAGTACTTTAGTCGCAATAAAGCTTTGGGTGGATCATGTATGCTATCTTTTAAATACAAATTATTGGTGAAAATACAGAGGTGAATACCTGAAATGGCTGACCTGCTTATAAATTATACCAAAATAATCGCCGAAGGAAAGGAACCTGAAGTACATGGAAGGTGGAAGGCTAAAGTGAGCAATCAGGAGAAAAATAATAATCTGATATGTGCAATGCACCTGAAATGAAAGCAGATATAAACATATTTTAACGAAAACATAAATAAATCTATTTTGATGAATTGCTCACAGTTGAAGCCTAAGACTGGTCATTCGTTGCAATAGAAGCACTTCTCATTGTAGGTTCCATGGAGGATATCTGAGATTTCTTGCTTACCTCTCTCTTTGCCCATCGAGAGGGGTTAAAAAGAGAGTGAAAGTTTTTTATCCTGTTCATTATTATTATGCAAAGATCCTAAGCCTTCCCCAAATTGTTTAAATTCAAATAAATAGTCATAATCATAACATATAAACAAAACAATCCAATTTCTATAAAAATAATAGATGTGCATGTACTGGAAAAAGTGTATACATATCAGAAAGCTCATGATAACAAATTCAAGCCAATTAGACGCTATAGTGTACACTTATATTGCAGATTTTTATTGTCTTTCAAGAGCTTACCTCCAGCTCATGCTCCTCCTCCATCTTCAACAGACAACTTCGACTCAAGGAAATCTAGAGGAACAAAAGGATTATTCAAATTGTTGGCTAGGTTCAAGGGAACCCAAGAAATTCAATTTTAGACAATCCTTAAAATTGAAGACGAACAGCCTGAGGCATGTACCTTTTCAGCATATTTCAAGCCAAATCTGGTTACTCCGTATTTGAAATCATGAAAAAAAGAAGCTCGTGCAGTGGAGGAAGGAAGACGAACAGCCTGAGGAAGCAGACGGTCGACGATTAAATCCCTAGATTCATCAAATCTGTTAGAAGAATCGGGCAGGCATTACGGAGAGGAAGAAGTGTGGTGGAACTCTTGCGCTAGACGACTGTTGATGGCCGCTGGGAACTCTTGATCGCCGTTGATTGTGACCCAAAGAGGCAAAATGGATGGGAAATAGAAGGGACGGCAGTGGATAGCAATCACCAGTACGAAGATTGTTGTATTTGTTTTATTTGATGAGTCAGCAAACAATTGTCCAAATAAGCACCAAAAATAGTCTACTTGGCTTGACACATGGCATCCCCACAATTGTTTAACTCTCCTTTATATATATATATAGGATAGGATTAGTGTACTCCGTAATTTTTTATGATCAAGTGTGATGTTATTAAATACTCCCTCCGCTCCAAAAAAAAATTCTACTTTGATTAACGTGCAAAATCCCGTAGATTTTAAAATGGTTTTATTTGCAAATTGACAAGGAAATAACACATAAAAAAATTATATTTAAAAACTACATCGAAAACTCTACAAAATAAGAGGTGACAAGAATATTTTATTTTATCAAATGATCAATGAAAACACGCAAACTATTAAGAGTTATCGAGAGGTCGTAATAGTAAACAGGAAATTAAAGACTTTTTGGGACGGAAGGAGTATTAGTTATCAAGGTGTTGATATAAAGTTGTGATATACTACAAAATAGTGTACAAAAGCGATGTATAAGAGCACAGAAAATGGTCCTAAAGTGGGGGGCATTTTTCTCGAACTCTAGAACTCCTCTAGCATGATTGTAAGTATAAATGTTAATAGGTAAAACCAGCCCTCCAAATATGATCGTTGCGAGTTAAAACGTACGTACGGGATCTACAAGCTATCGTTTTGAAAGGGAAAGGGGTACCACGGGCTTCATCGGGGCGTTAATGCTCCTGCGTCAAACGTTTAACAAGCGAATGCAGCGGGCCCCCTCCCTCCCAACGTTTAACGGGGTACCCGATTCACTCGGCCTTCCAAAATTTCAACAAAATCTCTTGTGCTGAGTATATAGAGGGGGCTTGATCTTTGCAATCAAAGAAACCTTAGAAATATACAAAAATATGTTTCCAAGTTATTTTATCAAACTCAAACACATCTTGGAACCAAGTTGGTGCATTGGAAACACCGCTTGACTATGTCCTTCAAATGGAGTACATCCATGTGTGCTCCATATTAATCTTCATCACTTTTGCCACTACTGGTGTGCTAAACATATCTTCATTCCGTGTATGTTACGAACCCGATCTCCAGCAGAAATCAAACACTTCAACAATGTTGGTGGATAATAATGCCCGATACGGATCAATGACCCTCCCTGCACCACCAAACGCAGCTTCTGAAGCAACTGTAGATATAATTAGATATGGCCAAAATGTCCCGATCGAATTGGTCAAGTGTGACAAGATCCCAAATTGCAGAGGATCCAAAATAGATGCAATGGAGGCCAGTGGCATTTCCCACAATACTTGATCTTACTTCTCCTTCATTATGTGTTCCTGAGATTGCATCTGCTTATCCTAGGATTCATTCACCCTACATAACCTAGACAAGTACAAAACCGATGTTTAGATTCAAGAAACAATATTTGTTAACACACTAAAGAACTTCAAGAAACACCATGGACAAACACAGTTTGATCCTCTATTTTCACATGATGGCAGCCACTGGTATGAGAGACCATGACCCATGTACCTAGGGAAAACATCTTTAAACTCGAAACGGGCCTCTAACATTCAATAAGACGAGCTCCACCGAGTAGCACAATCCGAAATCAACTTCTGAGAAGGGAAATTCAGTTCCCAGCCAAGAATTCGACACTAAGCTGCATAGTATCTATAGCACACCTTCAAAATCTTCAATTAACTCAACAAACTTATGGTATGAACAAACTTATGGTATGAACACAGCACCTAATACTGATGAAAGATATGCCCAGAAGAGAACAGAGGAGGGGAAAAAACCCAATTCTTAGACATTGAAGAGATAGTTCTCTGAAACATAAAACAGATCAGCAATTTGAGGCTTGTATTCCATAAAAGCTTCCACTTTATACATGAGATTGCAATACTATTTCACTTGTAGATGAATATGTTTAAACAAACACATGAATAAAGAAAAGAAAGGGGGAAGATTTCTAATTGCCTTGTTGCTTTTGGATCTCCTGTTTCTGTTTCTCCACGAGCTTGTCGAGGGCGGCTTGCAGGGCGTCGTGGCCTCCAATCAGCAAACGGGTGATGGTTTCCGGGTCGGTTTCGAATCGGGCCTCCTCGAATTCCTTCCTGGCGTTCTCTCTAAGGACATCGCGCCAGAGAAGGCCTCGGGAATCGGGCCAGGCGAAGAACCGGGTGGCCCGGATGATGTCCCTGTAGAGACTCAGCGCCTCGCGCCGAGTGCTGGTGAGCCGCTGCCGAGTCAGGATTTCGTTGTCGTCATCGTCTAGAATCTTCTTCTTCTCCTCCTCCTCCTTGACGGCGATGTGCCTGTCGAGAAGCTCCTCCACAGTGTCGGGGCCGTTGTGCAGGAGGCGGGGTGACCCGAATTCGACCGGTCGGAGCTTCCGCCTAAGATGGATCCCCATGGTTCGAAATGTGCGGCCATATCCGGCCATGGCCTCGCAGGTTCAGCTGCCTAGTTGTCCAAGGCGGCAGCACGAGGTAGAAAATTGAGTAGTCTCAGTGGTGTCTTGACAACATTTTTATCCATAATTTTCAAAAACATTAATAGGCAAAAGTTTGCTTACTTCAAATTATTTATTTTTATTAAATCAATTCATAGACGATTAGAAATAATTTTAAATATAATTAAAATAAGATTAAATTAATTAATACGTACATATGCTTGAATATTCAATTTTGAATAACTGAATATTTATATTCGAGCATAACTGAATTTTAAAAAAAATAAATATTCAATTACTCGAAAGTGAGTTTTCAACCTGAATGTACGATAAATACTACTCTCTCCGTCCCAATTTAAATCGTCTGTTTTGATTTTTGGGCATATATAAGGAAAATAAAAAATAGAGTTGATTTTTCGAAATTGACATTACTTTTTAGGAGGGTGATGATAAATGAGAAGATAAGGTGAAGAAGAGTGACTTATTTTAGGGGTAGTTTAGGTATTTTATTTTTAAAAGTTTACGAAAACAACTAACAGACAACTTGTTTTGGGACGGAGAAAAAAAGCAAACATGCAATTTAAAATGGGACAGAGGGAGTAAACAATTGATGGTACGATATATATTGGGTATTCTAATTTGATGAGAACGATTAAAATCAAGTGAAGAGTACAAGCCCTAATCCTTAGGTTTAATGATTGATGTAGAGGCTCGAGTGGTCCAATAACTCAATTCTTAGGTTTTATCAATCATAAAAGTAAAGATCTTTTATCCTCCTTAAAAGGATCGTTTTTGGTCGGTGATATGTGCAGAGCAAAGGGTAAAGGGTTGAAGAAGATAAGAATAGTCAACTTTACAAATCAAGTGCCCGATGTCACTTAGGAAACCCACCTTTCTCATTATTCTTCCAACAAAGACCTTCCATCCCTTATTACTCTTATTTACAACAAAAATTTACCAACCGTCTCAACAAAAAGAGAACTATTATGAATCACAATGGAATCAATTCTTTTTTGAAAGCCAACCGAATGGATATGATAGAGGAAGAAAACATCTTCAAAGCATCCTCTCATGAAGACCAACAACAAAAGTTCTTGTTAAAATAAACAACTCCATGTACAATGATATGTGCATTTTACTTTCCTCGTGAAGAATAACAAACTTTCCTATGTAGAAATCATAAGAACGTCAACGTTCTCAATAGCAAAATGAAGAGTTATTGTCTCCAACGTCAAATTAATGAGCATTAATGCCATCAAAATAGTCATGGAACGGTAACTATAATACGGAGTATAAAATAATAGATGACCGACCCCTAAAGAAAATGAGGGGGGAATTATTTTTTCATATCTGTGGAGTAAACAATTGTTAACTTGGACAGTCCTTCCAGTGTACCAAACTCTGAAATAGACTCCTAATGGGAAAATACTAAAAACATCTATGGAAATTTTAAAAAAAACATAATAAGTGAAATACTTGGTCATTTTACTACCTATGTTTCATTAAAAGTTCAAATTTGGTTCAGATAATATAACCAGATCAGGCAGCCAAGCTCTTTGATGCAATTTCAAAAACATTCTCTGAGAGCCCCTCGGTCGACAGGATCATCTCCAACTGCGCCTGTATACGCAAGTTAAAATTCCAGGCTTAGTGCTTTTTATTCTAATGAAAAAAATCACCAACAGAATATCTTTGAAATGAGAGGATTAATATGTTTATTAAGCATTAAATCCATAATAATCACAAGGAAGCTGGCCACAGCCAATATATGTTAAAAACAATCGCCTGTGAGCTTCTTTGATTACCTTGGCAAGAGCTTGTCTGGTTTCATCATAACGTTTCCACCTAGAGAAGGCCGACACCATCCGGGAAGCCACCTGCATTGCATTATTCATTGGCCTTATGTCAAACTTGATGAGAGGATGAAGTTTTAAGAATTGAAACTTCAGAGAAATCCCTTGCAAAATAAAAATGGAGCCCAGGTTTCTTTCTGCGGGTTTATATTTACAGGGTGGATTAAAAAAATGTCGAAAATCTTTTAAACTATGTTTGGTTCAAGGAATTTGATAGGGAAAAGAAAAGAAAATGATATGGAAAAAACAAATTTTCAAGTTTGCTTAGAGAGGAAAAGAAAAGAAAAGGCGAGGAAAAATAAACTAAAAGAGGCAAATTTCCTTCCAATTTGGTTAGGAAAAGGAGGGAAACCTAGACGGAAGTCCTTGCAATCTCACTCAATCCCTCGTCGCTCAAATTCTCCCATCAATTCCTAGTCGCTCAATTTCTCCTCTCCATTCTCTCCCGTCAATCCTTCTCGCTCAGTTTTTTTTGTGTAGGGGTGGGGGTGTGGGGGGGGGGTTTCGTTTTTTCTCATCAACAACCAAACAATGAACTCACGGAAAAGTATTTTCATCACCAATTTCTCTAATAACCACAAACAAAATTAGGATTTTGGATGTTTTTTTGTTTTTTCCTTGCCTTTCTAACTCTTTGAACCAAACATAGTGTTGGTGATTGTACCTGGGGATTCAGTTTGTCGAGCTGCACCACAAGTTCTCCTAAGAACTTGTACCCTGATCCATCCTTCGCATGGAAGTTATTAGGACACCCACAAAACCCACCAATCAATGAATACACCTTGCATCAAAAACCAAATTGAACACAATTCAATCAAAATTCATATACGAACAACAAGCCCAATATAATCCCAACTCTGTTTGGGTCTAAGGGGTCTAGATGTATGCAACTTAGCCCCTGTGAAAAATTAAGAGGCTGTTTTTTGTTAGACTCACGTTGCATTTATGCAGTTCATACCCAAAAAATCATACAAAGTACTCTGGTGGTAAAAGAAGCAATGTAAGATTAATGTGCCATTTTGATTTAGTTCAATGTTTACCCGATGACCGATGCTAGAACATTAACCAAAAGGTTTGTTAAGGAGCAGGTTAAAAACCTTGTTTGGATTTCGCAGGTCAAAGGCTGGGTGGTTCAAAAGTTTTTTGATATTTTCAACATTTCCTGGTACGGTTGATGCACCTTGGAGGCTAAACCATTTGTTTACAACCTGCAAAATAGAATATAATATAAAATTAAACAGCGCCATTCTCAGCTGTTCCTGGTATTGTGTCCCCATCAACTTTTATAAAAGAGATTGCAAACGGTTCGGATGTCAAAAAGTACTTAAGGTGCCTTAGAAAGAAGTTTGTGATAGATGTGATGCCCCTACAAAATGTTAGACTGAAAGACATACCAAGAAGTCGTGCTGCCACTTGCCAAAGAAATCTGCTAGAATTTCATCCCGAGTTTGACCATGTTGCTGGTCGATAGCTATCAGAGCAGAAAATTGCTCTGTCATATTTGTTGCAGTTCTATATTCGTCCAATAAAATGTCGACAATTTCTGGGTCTTCAAGTGATCCGAGATATGCTGTAACCAAGAGAAAGCAATAGATATTACTAAACCGACCTAGACTAATAATTCAAAATAGAGAAATTCTGCTACAGACCAAGAGAGATATTTTTTAGAGAACGCCTCGCCATATTGTGATGATTAAATTCATATTGTTCAGAGCTCCTATTTTCTTTTACCTGCAACAAAACAGCTGAGTTAAATATATACCAACACAAGAAAAAGAACTAACTTTGTGTTTGCATGGTCATACCGTTCTGAGAAGGTCTTCTTTTAATTCGGCAGCAAGTCGCTTCCTGACAAAGGTTCTAACAGCATGAACGGCATCAGGGTCAGCAACACTCATCATGTCCATTATCTCTCCTTCCCCAGGCAAAGTTATTGCCTTTGCAATGAACTCCTACATAAAGTTTGGCATGTTAGAGAATCAATTCCAATTTGCAACTGGAATGGTGAGAGAAGACATTCAAACCTTATCCAAACTAGAATCATTAAGGATGCTTTTTATTCCCTGTACAAATTGTGGGTTAAGAACCAAATGTTTGTTTTGCTGGAAATCAGCTACAAGGTTGAGCATCAGCTTCCTTGCCAACACCTGTCCGGCTTCCCATCTGCACCATTGAAACCATGTTGAGCCTATCCCAAATCTTTGATGAACCAAAAGGAAAACTAAAGTTTGTACCTACCTGTTGAACTCATCAGAATCATGAGCAAGAAGAAAAAATAGATCTGCATTGGTAAGAACAGACTCAAGTCGAATGGGAGCACTAAACCCCCTTAATATAGACGGTGTTGGCCTCTCTGGTATGCCATTGAACACAAATTCCTCTTCTTTCTGCACATTATAAACAAAGATGGTTTATAAATTAGGTGAACTGCATAAGAGAAAGTGATTAAAATAAAAAAACTTAATGAAAACAAAATTTTGTTAGACGGTTAGACCGGCAAAATGCGATGACTAACAAAGGAAGTGACTTGTATTTTACATTTTTAAAAACTGATTGGAAGGCAAATTCGGTATGCATTTTTATGGTTTTCCTTTTCACTATTAAATTTAACCGCATTTTTTTCAACAAAAAAGTCTTTTTTGTCCAACCTAATTAAATTACTACTATTGAAGAAATACCCCACAGTAACAGTAACAAAATTCACTCCATCCCATAATACCTTGCCATATTTGACAGCCTCGGAGAGTAGGAAAATAAAATCTGTGCTTGCAATTTATTCGAAAGAGAAATATATGATCCACATATTCAATTCCTTGAAAGCAAAGTAGAACATACACAAAAGGAATATTGGCAAAGTTTTGAGAGACAGATGTAGTCATAATAATAATAATAATAATAATAATAATAATAATAATAAATTAATAATAATAATAATAATAATAACAACAACAACAACAATAATAATTTCATCTGTTCATAAACACAAAAGAGCTTAGTTAGTTTAAGAGCTTAGTGTGCAATGAAAAACTAATAACAGACAACCCTTTGTGTTTAAACAGCGAAGTAAATATCTCAACTGACCTTTGTTAGCCTAAGAACTGTAGTGTGGACTGGCTTGCCACCGCCAAAACTTTCCAATTTCCCACCATAGTTTACAGATGACAAAGGAATTTCCTTGCCTCTTGAGTCTAAAAGGCCGACCGCAATTGGAATAAACATTGGCTCTTTTACAGATTGCCCTGGTGTGGGAGGGATATCTTGACTGAAAAGATATTAAATCAGATAAAGAAGGCAACCACAAATTAAATACTACCTCTTTCCCATACAAAAAGTTAACAAAGAGAAAATTATGGAGTTTAAAGAGGAGATTAGTGACCCTTGATGTGACCAAAAAGAAAAAGGAATAGTGATTGAAAAAATGTGAACCGCAAGTGATAAAAAGTTGGAAGGAGAAAAGGGGGTGATTTAAATTTGAGGGTGGAGTATTACAAGCAATAATGGAATCTGTAAACATTCAAATGGAAAGGAGGGAGTATGTTTATTTAATGTATCGACAATATTCTTCACATTCGTACCTGAACTTAAGAGAAAAAGTATGAGCATCAGCATCATAAGTAGATGTAACCTTGACAAGAGGGGTTCCAGCTTGAGAGTACCTGCAAGTTTAGTTTTTTACAAGTTCAAACCAGAACTACCAATCAAACACCTGATTTCAGAAAAGTGGGGACAAGAATTAATAAAATACCATAACAAAAAATTAGCAAAGTCTGCATTATTTGCATCCCGCATTGCAGCAAAAAAGTCTTCACAAGTTACAGCTTGCCCATCATGCCTCTTAAAATATAAATCCATCCCCTACAATACCAAAACAATGCTTCTGTTGGCCAAATACTGGAATGTAAATATGAGATATTCCAATATCAGGAGTTCATCATACTGTTCTTACCTTTCTAAATCCTTCACTTCCCAGCAAGGTTTTGTACATTCGAACAACTTCAGCTCCCTGATTTGTACATGTGTAATTAAAAGTAGACATTTTTAAATGTGCACACAGGATAAAACACACACAAAAGCATAGGCAGGGGAAATACCTTTTCATACACCTATAAAAATGGGGAAAAAACAGAAAACATCAGTAAATTAGTCAACTCAGGCAAATAAAGGAAAATGCAAAGTATTAACTATACAAGCAAAAGTACTAAGATAACAATACCGTTACTGCATGTGCAAGATATCCAGACCAGAAGACAAGCAATACCAGTTGATATAGCCACAACATTAAAAAATCAAAGGCATTGATGAGTTTCTATGGTGTGGAAACCAAAAAAAGTCTGTGTATGCAAATGATATAACAAACTCCACTCAGAAGCAAGAATTAACCATGACTGACCAGTGTAGAAGTTATCCATCTGCCAATGTTCCGTGCAAAGTGGCCGGAAAAAAGAGAGCGCAAAGTTAAAATCTTTAACTTGAAAAGAGGGTAATTGTTTTAATATAAAATTATCAAAAAAAGGGCAGATGAAAAACAAATTTCAGACCTTAATGTAGGAGTGAGGCCGAACTGGATGGGCCATGGGACCAGCATCCTTAAATATTACCCATAAACATAATAAGTAATTCGAAGTTAAGATGTGGCCAAGGATGAGCAAAGTTCAATACCAAGATATTGAATAACACCTAACAGCTTGACCATGTGTATAATAACAACAAACCTGAGGATATTGATACATTCTAAGCTTTGAAACATCAGCAATCCTCTTCACTGTACGGCTTCCCATATCAGATGAAAATTCCTAACACATGCACAAAAAATGTTGTGAAGGAAAGTTCTATAAATTATTTTATTGTAAGAGGAAATATCATACTCAGATATATGAGAATGTCTACCTGATCACGGAAGACTGTTAGACCTTCCTTCAAACTAAGCTGGAACCAGTCACGACATGTCACTCTGTTTGGAGTTCATTGTAAATCTCAATATTATATTTAAAACTTAACATATCAAATATGACTTGTTTTAGAAGCAAGTTAATTCCAATTCAATTCCCTTCATTGGTGAGCTGGGTATGCCACTTTTATTTGTGAAATATGCCACTTTTGGACTTAAAATTAGTCACTCTTTGGTAGTTTGGAAACAAAATCTAGTCAATTTCAAACTTGAGGATAAAAAAAGGAAGTGAGGGTAAAAAATAATATGAACTCTTTTGACAAGGTTTGGCAAACAATGAAAACTGCTCAAGATCGTTTTTTACATTAAATCAATAAACAGAAACAAGTAGAACATGTTTAAATGGACTGAATTTATTTTGGCATGAAGGAAAGATAGAAACCCACCTGTTCCCAGTCCAATTGTGGAAATACTGTAAAACATAAAAGAAAGATATCTTAAATCAATACATTCAAAACATGTGTTCGTATTAAATATTGGTTCATATTATTGGGTAGGATACCTCGTGTCCAATCACCCCTAGAATTGCAGCATAATCTCCATCAGTTGCAGTTTCAGGAGAAGCCAAGACAAGCTTGGAATTGAAAATCTGTTTACAACAAATCAAATATGTTCAGGAGATGGAAGGTCGATTCTCAAGCCCTGCCTCTCCCTAGAAATTTTTACAATTAGCATTATGGATTATCAGGAAAGTAAAGCATACATTCAAACTTTTGTTTTCCATTGCTCCCCTGGCAAAGAGTGACACAATATTAGGAATCTTGAGAAGCAAACAATATACCAATTGAGGATAATAAAAGAATAAGGGCATTAGAAATATGAAAACAGAGAGATACTAACATGTTAAAATCTGGTACGGCAACAATATTAAAAAGATCCAAATCATACTCAAGACCAAAGACCTGTTTCATATAATTGCAAGAAAAATATAGCATCAAGATATAGAGGTAAGGAAAAAAATGAATTGGAAATGACTAGTAAATGGAAAACTAACATCTTCATCCCATTTCATAGCTGCTTTAAGTGAATACATTGCATGCGCTGTCTTTGGCAAATCCTGTGCAGGCGTCCAAATTCGAAGGGAGACATTTCTGCCAGAACGAGTGGTAAATGTGTCATCTCTACTAACCAATTGTCCAGCAACCAATGCAAACAGATAACTTGGTTTCTTGAAAGGATCCTCCCAAATGGCGTAATGGTGTCCTCCCTAAATTTAAGGGAAAAAACAAATGGAAAAGATCAATAACACAGAAGCTACCCAATCCACACATGTCAAATTAAGCTTTGTACTTATAATATTGAAGGTTGAAGCTCACCTCCAAATCTCCTTGCTCAACAAGGTTTCCATTAGACAATAACACAGGGTACAAGGATTTTTCTGCTTCAATGCGACATGTGTATTTTGCCATAATATCGGGACGGTCCTTATGATGCAAACAAGCCCAGTTAAAAGGCAATGAAGCGAATGCCAAAGATTATTACCAAATAAATAATATTAATGAAGATCTACCTGATAGAATGTAATTTTACGGAAACCTTCAGCTTCACATTGTGTACAGAAGTTGCCGGATGACTTGTAAAGCCCCTGTGTATTTATATACTCTGAATTAGAATTGGATGAAGATCTAGAGTTATATGAGTCATGTCTTATGATGCAATTGATTTTAAAATATCAATCTTGTGATAGGACATGACTATAGCCATTAGAATCTCATGATATTTTCTCCACAAGTAGAAAAAACTTTGATTATGTTAATTTTAGAATCCCCATCTCAATATTCCTTTTAAAAAGATTGAAATAGGAAGGGCATCCTATGCACAACTTTGTCTTAAAGGCTTTAATTTGCATAAGTTTGTAGGCAATTAATTAACAATGAAGTTAGAATTAACTGATTAAGGTGATAATAATAGAAATCAGGGCAGATATATGATCCAAAAAGCCTAAACATAACTAGAAATTCTCAAGATCAGAAGGGAATATATCACCTCCAAGGATGTATTTTTATGTGGATATATTTCTGTAACAATTTCCAAAGTGAACTTTCCATTTGGCGGTGAAGCAATAGTCAAGTGCCTCGAGTCCAAGTGAAATTCTTCCTCCTGGCAAGCAATTGAAGTATTGGACCAACCAAATTGGCAAGCGAGAGATTCTATGGAAAAATTATTAACTCTAGTGAGAATATAAGTGTGCACACCTTCAACACATTTCCATTAACAAGTATGGAAAGCAGCTTCAGATCATGGCCATTCAAAACAAGGGGGGATGAACTGCCACCTGGTTAAGATAAATAAATTAATAAATACAGATCTCTGCAACCGTAATGAATCAACAATGTGGTATTTTAGCAGCATACTTTGGTTGCCCCAGCACTGCATCATGGTCAATATCAAGAAATAAAACTCAAAATATTACCTTCAACTCTGGGGAAGACAGCAATTTTAGAAGAGACAATTGTTTTATCCTCACCCAGAGAAAATTTCAAATCCACCTGAGCAACATTTGCAGATATGCATGAACTACTTGGAGGAACGGAGCAGTAATATGAATTATCATGAGTGTGTCATGTGCTATACCGCATCAAAGAAATAGTCAGGCTGCTTGTAATCCTTGAGAAAGATTTCTTTTGGTCCCACCATCTTAGATTCTTCTTCACCTTTCTTAGTTACTGACTCAGTTGCAATAGAACAGATCAATCTCTGATTGGATGTCCTTTGCTTCTATACTCAGTAAAAAAACACAACAATAATGTAGGTGAGGATAGGAAAGAAACCGCTGGAGGCCAGGGATAACAAAAATGGCATCAATAAAAGCTCACTGGAAATGACAAGTAGGGAAAGCGACACTTCCTCCAATCTGTAACCTGGTTGGAAAAAATGGAAAAGGGTGTTGATAGTTAAAATATTACACATATCACAAAATGAAAAAAAAATGTTGATAGTTCAAATATTGCATAAGCTAATGCAATAAAAGAGGGTGAACCTTAGGAGCGAAGAATTGTCTATGTCTACTGATATTCCTCGCTGAGAGCCCAACTTGACTAAAACGACAAACCTGGAACTGTATATTAAAAAAATGAAGAAGAAAAAAATCACTCAGATAAGCTTACTAAGGTTGGCAAGTGCCGCAACTATAATGGAATGGTGAATTAACAATATAAAAGAAGCAAATAAACAAACAAGTCAAAAGATGGGATAAAAGCCGTAACCCCAACTCGATGTTACTTATTAGTAAAATGTCCATATCCACCAAAGACAGTGGAAACTAGTTAGCTGCAATAGTTGACATGAAAATGTTCTCAATTTATATATAGAATGCCTTCCAAGTAAAATACAATCCCTCGCTAGAACATTGCATCTCTGCATTCTAGATTCTTATTAATTTGAATTCCTTAAACAGCCTTCCATAAAATTCAAGCAGATACGGGAAACAGCAAACAAAAGGTAGAAACAAAAAAAAAAGGAAACAGATAATCACAGGAGCAGAGGAGATCAAACCGAAGAGACACGTCTTAGACAAAGCTGAAACCTTGTAGGGCATAACCAAGCATGCCATCGTCCACCCTCTCTACTCCTAAGTAAATAGTATACACTACTATATCAACAATGGCAACAATCAGTCACCCCTAAGTAGGACCCTTCTTCAAAGTTAAAACTCAAACTCCACAGGCAATGCTAAACCCCTCAAAAAAATCATGAACACCAACAATTCCACACAAAATAACCCATAAATTATGCACTCACTAACGGGTTAAAACCCAGTAACAAGAATAAGGAAAGTAAAAAAAAACGCGAAGATTTACCAATCAATGCGGAATTCCTTTTGAAAATCAATCGCAAAGAAACTAAACGAAGAACATAAATAACCTACGAGCTCTGCCCATCATGGCGATCAAATCAAAACATCAAAAACGATGGCGATGAATCGGGAATGAATTGAGAAATGAGGATGAGAGTTACCTTTGCCGCTAGGATGACAGGTCTTGAAGATGAAGGTTTATGGGGAAACTGAGAAGTGTTATCTGATAATAATCATGAATTTGAGAGTTTCAGTCACATTACCCAATTTCGATCCGTTTGAAAGCTCTAGTCTTTGGGCTTACGCTTAGCGCCCCGGAGTCGGGATAGTTTTTCAAATGAAATTGAAGCCCAATTGTTATTCTTGGATTTGATAGAACTTAGAAAGTATACCAAGTTTAAGAGACATGACACGGATTTCCAAAATTAAACTTCAGGATATTTACGATGCTTTTAAGAATTTTGTTTCAATTTTGGGTGTTAGTCATTTTACGTTGTGTGATAAGTCTACTACATTATACATAAAAGCACCATTGCGGATTAGATATATGTTGATTTTACTTTTTAACTTTTGAGAAAAAAATACTTTAATCACAAGTTAAATAATACTCTCAAAGACTCAAACATACTTCCTCTTTTACTTTGGCCCCGTTTGGCATCAGCATTATAGATTAGCATCAGCGTTTTGAAAGCGTTACAGATTATCATCAGCATTTTGAAAAGGTTATCTGACGGTAGCTTTTAGCGTTAGCATTTTCAGAATTGATCTACACCATTAAAATTTTATCCAAAACGCTAACGCTAATCGAAAACGTTGTTCCCAAACAAGGCCTTTATGACTTAGTCGTGCTTTCACCGCAAAAACTTCAACCATAAACCATTGCATATTTGCATTAAAAAAATTAAAAAAATGTTTTACATATAGTAGCAGTAATAACAAAAGTCAAGAACAACAAGGGTGCTCGACTTTGGAAGTAATTATTGGGCGGGCGGAAATAAGGACAAGGATATGATGCTCCATATATAATTTGAAAAGATATTTGAGGGAAATAAAAGAACAGAGGGAAATGCATAAATATATTGGAGCAATACTATGTTGGTGTTAATGAAACAAGGAGTAGTTGGATAATTGAATCATTGTTGGCGACCAAGTCATATACACAATGCTACGTGACAAATGACCAGCTTCATTTATCAAATATATATTGTACTCCCTCCATAATAATTCCATATGTATGTATCTAAAACACTAGATTCATTCTTATTTCTTTCATAAGATTGCATTCTCACCAGAAACCAAAGCTATATATATATATAGCTTTTGTTTTCATCATTTCATCATAATTCATACTTTTTAATTATTAGCATTTGCTAAATAATACTCCCTCCGCTCCACAAAACCTTTCATCTTTCGTTTTTTTTTGTTTTCCACAAAACACTTCCACTTTCTATTAAAAACCACTTTTACCCCTACTTTTTCATACCCTACCTATCACATCATACTTTTTCACTAATAACCAAAATATCACATCTTACTTTTTCACATCACATCAGGGGCAAAATTGGAAAGTCAACCAAAATTACATTTTCCTTACTTTCCCCCAAAGTCAAAACCGGAAGGATTTTGTGGAACGGAGGGAGTATAATAGTAAAAAATAAATTTAAGATATATAGATTCAATAGGTCTTGACCTATAATATTACTTCATTCGTCCCAAAAAATATCATTTAATTTGCTACTGTTTACAAACCAAACTAGTTCTATATACTTTTATACATTTTCAACGAACATTTGATGGAATAAAATAATTTTACCACTGCTTATTTTAATAAAAAATAAAATCAATAAAATGTTAACTTAATTATGTACTTTCAATTTTTTATTTAGATTTAAATCCAATCGAGTGGCTATAATTTTAATTAGTTTTTTTCTAGTATGCATTTTTTTTGCTCTTTGTATCCCCTTTGATATGTTAATAATTGTGCTTTTATAATTCGGCCTATTATTTTATTACATTATATCAATGTAATTTTAATTTTATATTAATGAAATATTTATTTAATGCATTTATTTTAAGTAATTTTGATTTAAATAAATGACATAAAAAATTGGGTCTGGCGTGATTTACACCCTTGTTCAGTGATTAGCAAAATTAATATGACGCTGAATGACATGACGTGATAGGTGTGATGGCGTGATCCACAATTAGGATTTTAGGTCATGTGTTATGGCAGGTTTGACAGGGATTTGATGATGTGTAAAGATATATGATGTAGAGTGATGTAAAATACTTTGTATGTGTTATGGTGAGTATGAAAGAAAGTGATAAGATATAATTACGTGTTAAATTTTGATTGGTTAGAAAAAGAATGAAAATAAAGAAGGAGAGAAGGGGCAACACCCGTGATGTGGGTGACGGGAAGAGGGACAACGCCCCATTCACTAGAAACTGGAGCCGTGCAAGGGCTTGAAGGAGGCGTGAGGGATGTACTGACGCCCCTCACGCTACAGAACGCATAGCCTTAAAATTAAAATATGGCATCATAATTTTAGAACTTGCTGACCAAAGACCCAAGGAGGGAACCTAAATCTATTTGATAATACAATTGAGTGGTGTGGGGATATCAATCTGATTCATTTTATCGGGTCTAATCCGATTTGAATTGCCCGATGTGTTGCCAGTTTAAAACTTACCAATGAAAAACAAGCAAAATATTCAAAAAATGAAATATTTTTATCAAAAAATGAAATATTTTTTATGAATTTTTTCACATTAGTGTTCCTTCTCCCACATCATTTATAGAATATTCAAAGTTATGTTCACATCAATTGGCTGGATGGTGGCATTCACTAGGAGTAATAAATTATGAAAAATATTAAAATAACTAAATAAGAGTCATAAGCCTTTTAGGCTTTGTTTGGAAAGAGCATTTTCAATTACCGTTACCGTTTTGGATAAAATATTAACAGTGTAGATTTATTTAGAAAACGTTAACGCTAAAAGCTATCGTTAGATAGCCTTTTCAAAATGCTAACGCTAATCTCTGACGCTGATGCCAAACGGGACCTTAATTAAGACCAAAATATGAATTCATATTACCATTTTTAAACTGTCACACTCACCACATTATCACATTGTAGCTGCGACACTCAATTTGTCACAGCCGGTTACCAGAGTGCCGCCACAGATTGTTGACGAGGATCACATTATCACAATGACATTTACATTGACATCACCACTTTTTCATTATATTGTCAATGTGTATTCTTACACCACACTGTCATTATACTCTTATTTTGATTTTAAAAGACTTAGGACTTTTATTTTGATATCTTTTATATATACTTTTTTACTGATATCTAGAGAGATTTCTTAAAAATTAGTTCTTTTAAAAACCAAAGCCTCGTAAACTCTTCCCAGCAAACACGCATTTATATGGTCATGGTTATGTGATCGTGTATATACATACGTGTATTGTCCATATATGCGTTTGTATGACATAGTACGTATGTAACTTAGTTGTCTCAATGTGACCAAAAGTTTCTCATTTTCTCACACTTTAATACACAGTACTAATTTATGAGATGTAAAATGTACTAATTTTTATCTTTTTTTTATTATTATTAAAGAAGGGTCAAAAGCCACATCACACATATATATAACCAAATTGTAGGATCACATGGAAGGTAAGCTAAGGGAGGTAATGTTATAAAGTGATTGTGTGGGTTGGGTTCTCACATGCAAATATGCAATGGACTGCATGTGCCCTTAGTAGGGTAAGAAAGACAGTATGTTTTTTTCTCTTTGGGAGTGATGTTGGAAAATCCAAATTTAGCACCATATAAGTCAACTGAATAGTACTTCTTTGTGTAGTGAGAGAGAAAGAGATCTAAATAATTACATCAATAATAAAATCTCGGGAGGCACATATATAATTGAAATTATTGAAGCCAATCATTTTAATTAGTATATATTGTTTGGATTTCATATGCAAAAGAAAAAAGCACCAACTCATTAATTGGTGTTGAGGAGGTCTTTATAGACCAACCCATATGTTTCACCCATGCACCCTCCTCCTTTCATTGAGCTCCACTACCACTTATGCCCTTTGATTTATATTGGCTCCAACATCATCTCTTTGAAATTTGTTTGATAAAAATCTATTTTTTTTTATTCTCAAAGTCGAATATCGTGCTCTTTCTAATATAGTGGTTGAATTTGCTCTATGAACTGCGTGTTTGTTCGCCTCACGTCTTTTCTTCTGATAATATCAGTGTTGCATGTTTATATATGCAAAATCCCAGGTTTTCACTATTGTAGATATGGATCATCTCGCACTTGACTACTTCTTTGTTTGAGTTTTATCTTATTCCCTCTTCTGAGTAGATTGTAATCATCCTCATTGAACTGTACAACTTGGGTGTGCACTTTTTTATAGAAATTTAGATCCAAGATTGGTGTCTCCGACGAATTCACCATCTTGTCGGGTGCATTACGAATATTATATTCCTAACTAATTCTTTGTGTTCAGATTCAATGTATGATTTGTTCTAGTTTAAGTATTATACTCTTTTGTTATTAACTAATGCTTGTGTGTTTGTCTTATTTGGTAGCACATGAACAGAACTATATAACTTTGTATCTATTTATTCTCTTCTTTTTAATGATAATAGCTTATGAGTTGATACAAATTTTACAATCTTAATATTAAGTAAATGTTTATCAATCAAATAACAATGTTCGGCCATATCTAACACACGCATAAAATGTAATTGTGCATTTCTTAACATCCCCAAATTGCACTAGAATTAAGAATTAGAGGAATGCAGAATTGTCCAAATTGTCTTTTAATATTGGTCCTCTAATAAATGAACTTTTCCCTTTAACATTACTCTAAACACGACCTACAAAAAAGATTCATACTTGGTCCGTCGCTGAGTGTTTGTCCACTTTTGACTTTTGAAATTGTTCATCTAAGCACTTTGACTCATCAAATTCTCTCAATGTGTAAGGCTAAAAATAGTCATGTGTGATCTTGTTTGATTCGTCTTAACATATATATTATTAATATATAATTTTTATAATTTTTTAATATACAAATTACAAGATAAAATGGATTAAAGAAGTGCATTAGATGATGTGTAAAAATGAAAGTGGACAAACACTCAGGGATGGAGAGAGTACAATTCAACATAAGACTTTCAAACACGTATTTTTTTGTATATTCTTCAATATTTTTATTCTTCAAATCAATTTTCCACCCAATATGATCTTGGAAAAAATTATTGACACCTTTTCAAAAATTACGAGTAGATCATTATCAAAGCACTAGACTAGACTAGACTTTGGATGGTAAG